GAATAAATAAATTTTGCCTATCTATAGTTTTGAGCAGAAATATTTTTAAAATGAGATGGTCAGGTTTCTTACTTCATCATTGAGAAATAAATTTCCGAAAATTTTCTTATTAAAATTTATTTAAATATTTTATTTCGCAAAATGATGGCCTTTTTAAAAAAAATTCGTATTTTCGTACAGGTATAAGATATATCCACGCATATACAGGCTTAACTTTAAAAAATGGCGATTAGTTGCTACTTAGTGTCATATTTATTACTTATTTATCAAGCTAATACAAATCATGCTTACTAATAATAACTCTACATAAGATAACTCTAAGTACTACATAATAATAACTCTTAATCTTATTACTACATTGGGTCACACATACAACGTTGATCGAAACTGTAAAACTAAGTTATGGTGGTTAAGACAAAAGTAAAATGACTTAACTTCCGCATTAACATTTAAATCTGCGGTTAAACATTAAACATTGTTCCCGAATTTTGTTTAATTAATTTAGAACTTATGCATGTTCGATACTCATGCGTCTATCGCACATGTTCGGTAACCGAAACGAACAATATTATACACTTTCATAAACAGAAAACGCACTTTATTTCCACATGTGTATACAAAACGTGTATGATTAATAAACGTCATACCTAACAATCCCATTAATATTTGTTAAATTTACAATTTAATAAATATGTTCTATAAAAATTGGTATTCATAATCATACATTCCTAATTCGTTATCAATATACTCATACATATATCAAACATGTTCGGAGATAATTTACCTACTTGCTACAACTCAATATTCGCTTTTCATATTAAATTTATGAATAAAGGAAGTTCTGTATTGTCTGCAAAATAACAGGGTTCAGCTCAATAATTTTGTTATTGAGCTTATAAATATTTTTCTTATTATTTATTATAAAAATTCTAAATATCTAATATAGAAGAATTTATAAACAGCTTAAAAATATTTTAATAAGAATCAATTTCATTTCTGATTATTCAGGCTAATAATTTAAAATAAAAATAGTTGAGTTAAATTTATAAAATTTTTCAATATAATTTTTATTGAATTGGATTAAAAATGTGTGATGATACTTATTTTCTTTAACTAGAAAAGCTTTCATGTTGTGAATAGTATTTGTTGTAAATTTAGCACCCCAAAAGTAAACTATAATATTGCATTCTTCAGAATAATGAAATGAGAATCAAATGCAAAATTATTAATTGAGTGTTATTGATTACGATATTTGAAATATTGAAGATCACGTCCTTAGAAATAGTAAATAATTGCTTAATTTTAAGATTGTAGCAAATTGTTTAACTGCACTATTCAGCAATCACAACTCATATGCTGTATTGTATGTAAATACTGTAATACCGTGATTTTGATGTATCTATAATTAAAAGTTTACTGCTGAATAAAGTTAATCCAAAATGATTATGAGAAAAATGGACGTATTGCATCCGCTTAAGTACAAACTAATTTAAGATTTAATTTATTCAGTAATTAAAATTGTGTTGCTGAATTGGGCAAAAGTGACGCTAAATATGAATGTTGGTGAACCAACACAATTACAATTTACTCTACTAACGGATTTACAGTAATATTGTATTGATACGCAATTTAGCTTATAAATTCTAATTGCTGAATTGTTAAGTGCTACAATACTGATGCCAGGCATGCTTCAAATTTAGTGCACTATGTAAAATAAATTCATTTAGTAATACTTAATCAATACAAGTGGCTATGCATTTTATTTTTTATATTTCTGAATTATAAAAGTATGCTCTCGGAGTGTGATACATTCATTTCCACACTATACTTATGTTTTAGCGTTAAAAAAGCAATTGTTGAAACTATAAAATGTTCCAAAGTACATTTTTATCCAATTTTATTGTCATCAATTACTATTTCAATCGTATTTAATTTAACTCATCAATTCCCGTGTATAATTTTAAATCCAACAATATAACGTATAAGCACATACATATATACATTATGTATAAGGGTATATTTTAATTTAACATAGGCACTTTACAATAATTTTCTCACTAGACCACTATAATGTGTATAAGTCCACTTGTAGTAATTTTGCTTAGCATTACTGAATTAAATAAAATCGGATAATTTATATGGAAAAAAATTGTTGATAATATAAAAAATATGAGTGAATATAAAGTGGAAACCACCATACCATGATGTTGGGCGAACTATATACATATTTATATAGAACTAGACAGTTTTGGAATGTTAAGTAGAATTTAACAAGCTCACAATTTTTATTATACAAAACACTTACTTAGTGATTTTATTTGCTCATAAAGAATTAATATAGTGGAAAATTATTTTTTGTATTGTATATGAAAAAATACAAGGAAAGATCCCTCATGTCGATTGCAGCAAAAAATTTTGTAATTAACAAATTTTTTCTTAACATTTCACGCAACTTGGAATATATTGTATAAGATAGAAATTTTGTAACTCCTATGTTAACCGATTCGAATACAGGAACACAGTGATCCGCCCACAAGGCTTATAAAAATAAATAATCTGCCAAAATTGTTCAAAAAATCTTTTAAGCTGGCCCACTGTCCCATGAATCTAGTCAATATAATATTGATGGTGATATACGTACTCAAATTCATTTGTTCATAAAATTTTTAGTTTCTTTTAAAAAATTACAAAATTTTTTTTTTAATTTTAATGTTTCAGGTTTATTAGGCTGCATTTTTTAGACTGCAGAGAGAAATTCGGCAAAATGATTAAAAACGAAACATTTCTGTAATATGTTAATAATTACGTATTATACTTAATATACATAATATTATACAGAGATCACAACACAAGATAAACATAAAATTTCTCATTTTAACAATTTCATTAACAGTTTAGTATTACATTGAATAATTTTCGAAGATTTATAATGGTCATCATTATACGATTTTAATCTTTTTACATTTTTACATACTTCAGTATTGTAATTGTAAGTCGATAGTTATGCATGGTCACATTTGTATAAAATTAATTATTATATGTATATGAAAAATTTGTTTATGGATGATACTTATGTGTAAATTTAATACGCATATACTTTATGTAAGGTTAATTGGAATATAATCTAAATGAAACGAGTTTTTAAATCAACAGAATCATATAACTGGGAAAAAAGAGTAGAACTGTAATATAATATTAATACTGGGCATAAAATGGAAATTATAAAATGTATTATAGATGAAAACGTTCGGATTTTCAAGAAATCATGTTATTTTTGAATTCATATAAGTACATCTTATAAAAATTTAGAAAATTTATTTGAAAAAGTTGGCCATACCAAAACTATTGAATTCATAATTTTTATATTCGCAAGTTTTTCTTCAATCTTGTAATGTATTTGAATTATTGCACTAGGCTCATGGCAATAACATTTTTTGCTGGGTTAATTTTTACTTTACCATTCTTTTTGTACATATGCTGCAATTAAATTACATTCAAATCAGGAGGGTTTTCGCAGCAAAATTGTTAAATTAATAGTTTGCATCCATTCCTTCTGTTTGATAAATTTTACTTTTAAATTCAATGTTACAATTTTTTTTTGATTACTGTACAAGCTCTAGTATAAATTATTGTTAATTATGCCGGACAAAAATGGAAAAGTGTTCATTTTCTCAATTTACAAAATTAGTTGAATTCCGGGTACAAAATTCGAGTACATTTAATTAACATATATAAATTTTATTGGCATAAGTTTTTAAAGGCAGTTTATGGCTAAATCAAAAGTAGTAAAGTCATTTCGAGTGATTTTATAAGTTAAATAAAATTCTTAAAATTTTTAAAAGAATAAAATTCTTAAAACACTTTCAAAATAAAGGAATAAAACATAAATTTCAATTATTTTATAAAACCAAAAGATAAATTTCTTATAAGAAGCATTTCCCATCAATAAATTGACCCATTTAATATAATTATACAACACTTTTATAAAAATATTTTTTATTGTCTTCCACTATACTCGTATATGAGAATAAAACAAAAAATAGAATAATGCAGCTTAGCATTTTTTATGTTGTTACTTAGTCGCATTTTATTTTATTATCTAATTTAATGAAATTCAATTCAATCGTATATAAATTAGAATTATAAATACCAGAATTTTATGAGGAAACAAAAAATAAAAAATAAAACCAAGTACGTAAGATTTAAGAATCGTAAAAATTGAAATTTAATTGTATGTGAAATATGGCTCCTATATACTATTCACCCAACTGTATACTGGGAAACATACTTTAAATCACATGTGCAATTCAAGTCTGTTTCGATTTTTGAATAATGATTTCGATTTAAAAGTAATTGCTTTTAGAAAATCAATTCTAAAAATATTATAATTTTAAAAACATAAAATCAGTTCGAGTGTCATTTAATAACCTGTCCAGACCAAATATATTTTTAGCATTTTTAATATATACCTTTTAATTACCCATAAGTTGGGAGCTAAAATTTGAAGAGAGAGATCGTTTAATGCGAAAATTATTACAATTTTTCATTCACAAAAATAATGTGTGCTTATTGCAATTATAACAATTTCGGGGAACTAGCCTGGAAAGTTTTATTTTTATTTCATATTTTGCATTAATTTATTTAAAAAATGTTAAGGAAAATGGAAAATTTTCTTTTGTATTTTATTGCTAAAATAGGTTAATTCGATATTTTAATTCAATATTTCATATACATTGTACTCTATAGAGTACCTTTGATATCACGTAATTTTTCATTCATCCAAACAGTGTGGGATATGTGCAGAACATTCTTTATATATGTAAATTGCATATAGTGAAGTATTCATGATTGAATTGATCGTATTAACACTCAATAAAAAATTGATTTAAAATGCAAAAAACAAAAAATAAAGGGAAAAACGTTTCATTGCATCAAATTATTGATGATTACTTTTTTTTTATACTTATTCATCATCATTTTTTTTTCTTATTAAATTACAGATAATGGGAAAATCTGGCTATACATGCATACGACGGACATTCTGTTGGCTTAACATCATTTTATGGGTGAGTTTTTCATTTTTTCTTTTTTTTTTTTTAATTTTGATTTTTAATTATTTTTGATTTTTTTTCCCATATATTCAATTTCACACATTTTTTGTGTTTGCATGAGTAAATTTTGAATTATATAGCTCCATAATGAACAGGAGAATAGTGACGGAGAAGAGATTCTTTCAGTTGTTTTCTAAATTAAAAATATGAAGAAAGAAAAATATTCGAAATTTAAAAATTTAAAAAAATATGAGATTTTGTAGCGTAATTATCTGTCTGTCGCTAGAAAAAATATAATTGAAAATAATTTTTTTAATAAGCAAGGTGTAAGGTACACAATTCACAAATCCGATTCGTCCCGTATTGTCATTTTATGTAGCTTGTGGAAACTTTCAAAACACCGGTCAAATATTGCCTTTTCCTTCCACTATAAGATAATTCTTGGGGAACTGCTTTCTTATTGTCGAAATAGATTCTTAAAACGATATTATGAGTAAAATTTTCTCTGTATTAAAGTTAATAAAATAAAATTATAATGTGTTTTTAAAGGCTTTGTAAAATAATTTAAAAATCAAATAATACCAAATTTGAACGTTTCATTTTTCTCTTTATCTCACAGTACCAAAATATTGTATAAAGATTTTTTCGGACTCTCCAATAGAAAAGCATCTGACACATTGAATTTTCAGTTTAAAATTTTTTTCACCAGACATCGTAACTAAAATATTGCGACTTATGCATTTTTTCTACTTCTTAATCTAGTTTCTTAAAAATCTGTAAGGCAACATATGCTTGATTCAGAATCCTTAAATAATATAATAAAATTTATAATGTCTTACAATTTACAATTATATTTAAGAATCTAAAATTTTTGCTCGCCTTTCATTTAAAAACATTTAAAAATGTTTACCTTATAATAAAAAAAAAAGCTTTAACTTTTGAAAGCAACAAAAGTGAAAAAAGCATCTTTTATTGTCAGTCATTAATGAAGTTTAATCCAGAAAATGTACCCTTTATATTATTCTCTCTCTCTCTCTCTCTGGTATTCACTATCAGAGCAACTGTTAAGCATTCACACATAAATACAAGTTCATATAAAAGTTATTTAAATTCAAAATCACATCAAATGAACAAAAAATGGATTTTTTTTTCAAAGTACATTTTATTCAACGGCTTCCCTATTTTTCATGCTTCTATTGTTCTTCTTTTATCTTTTAACACATAATGTGTATGTATATGTGTATGAAAATCTGGAACAGCAACAATAACAGCCAACATAATATAAAAGTATATTTAATTTTCCTTTATACTTTTGATTTTAAAAATACTTTAAAGCATTTTTTATGACCGTATGGTAGAAGAGATTAATTACCGAAACTTCAATAAAACTTCTGAGAAAATCAATTTGCCATCATCAATAAAAATATCGAGAAAAAAAATTTTTTTTTTTATTACTGATTCCTTCCCAGTATGCCGCGCGACGTAATACTGTAAAATGGAAATACAAAAAAAAAATATTTTTATTATGCCGCCATAGACTATTTTTACAGTGGCTACATTCATAAATAATGCATAATGTATTAAAAATTAAATATTTAATGGTTTTACTCAAACATAATGATAATGTTATGATGTTTTTGAGAACTTTACTGAGTTCCTTATCGCCATAGTGTTAGCAATTCGATATACAAAAGATGGAATATAAATAAAAGCTTGTTCGTTATACAATACTTATGCAAGCAAAAAATTGTCGATTCTTAATGTATATGAACATGCACATGAGCAACAGACGTCAACGCTGAAATTCCTTTTTAACCTATTATGCCGCAGCTCTCGGTAAACAGACAAATAGAAAACTTTATTTTATAATATTTAAGCGAACTGTACCTTTCTTCCATGTACAGTTAGGTAAATTAGCTGTAGTGACCTAGTTATCGCAAGACGGTCCGCAAAAGTTTGCGTTGATGGTAAATGAAAATTCGGTGATGGCCCCTTTGCCTTGCTTTTGAAAGAAACTTTTGTTTATTTGTGTAAGAATTTCTGATATATTTCACCTAGAATTTATATTACATTTCCCTTTCTACCGTAAAGAAGAACACAATATCAACGTTACAACAAAAAGCAAAATCTCTCAAATTTCATTTATTTACAAGGTCAAGCTAATTTTATCATTTGCGGCATATCCCTTAGTCTCCATTTTTTATTTATGTAAGTTGTAAATTAATAAATATTTGTCATACATATTTCAGTTTTCGATAAAATTTCTACAAACTATAAAGGTCCTTTTTAATGCTTTGATGATTTTAGGGCCTCTGCATATCTTAGTGAAACAATTTAATATTCTTAACCATCAAAGTGAAATTTTAATAAAATCGGTATTTTCCAAATTTAATAATCGCCATTTTTATATTTATAACCATATAAATTCAATAAAATAATAAAATGAATTTTTAACCACTTACTATCATACCACATACTATCATATAGAGTTTAGTTGTACAATGAAATACAATGTTTGTAAGATAAAATTTATTGACTATTGTGAGAAAATGTCCAAGACCAATTAAATTCCTGTAACAAGGAGAAAGGGAGAGAGAGAAAAGCACAATAAATTTATGGTGATATTGTCAAAGTTAATTTTTTTTCTCATTTATTATAATTTTTCTCATTTCAAATGCTACTTCCATTCCTGGTATTTCAATAATAATTTTACCATGTATTTTAACTTTGGATTTATACTTAATATGTATACATGTTCTCTTTAGTACAACTAATTCTAACTTATTTTTATGTGGTTATCTCTTTACTAAATTAAAATAATATTCATTCTGAATTCTTAATGAACTTTGGAATTGTCCTCTTTATGTACAAGAGTATAATATTTTGGTACTTCTGTCGTGTACGTACAAAATATATGTATATGAATATTTATAGTATGTCGTTAATGTTTTACAAAAATAAATTAAAAGCTTGTAATGATATTATTAATCCAAAGCATGTACAATATTATTATACATATTTATCTTAAAAAGTTTGACCGAAAACCAGAACACAAGACAGTAAAATACAGAGAAAAATATAGTTGCGAATAAACACAAGTGTTGTAAAACAGCACATTCCTAAAACTTAACATTAACAATACAATTTTAGAGTCAACTGATGAAAATGATGTTGAATTGAAATAATAATTCTCTATTTATCAATAATGTTGCATATATTTAGGGGAAATTTTAATATAATTTTTTATTTTGTTACTATTGAATAGACCTGGTTAAATTTGGAGACTCTTTGAATAGTCGAATGAGGTGAAAAATTACTCTAGAAATTAACGAAAAAACGTTATGCTGACTAGTTTGCAGGGCCAGTTTTACAAGTTCTGCAACTTTTTTAAGTCAGAAAAAAAAAATAAATCGTTACCTTTGTGCAGGGCAGAGGGAAATACCTAAAAATTTTATGAAAGAGTAATATTTTATTTACTAAGGTGTACTTGAATGGAACATTTCACTTTTCTGCCTTTTGAGTGTTAAAATTTCGAAAAAATAATGGGCAGACGGAAATTGCTAGTAAAATTTATAAAAACATTTCTTCAAAAATTTTTTCGAAATGTAGGAATATTCAAAATATAAAGACAAAAGGCAATACTAATTTAACTGTCTTTCAACAATAGATATAACCAATTTGATATTATTGCCGCCATACACATAGATTGCCGTTATTATATACTTGTGTTTCTACATACACACGTACTGATTTTATTATGTTAATACCATAGTCGTAAAACCATTTTCACTAAAGAAATGAGACGAAATAAAAAAAAAGAAACCAAAAAAAATCTTCATTATGTTCATTGTGACATCATCAGCATACACAATATTACAAGTAGTCTAAAATGCAGTAAATTGCATTTTAAACAAAAGCTAAACGTCATAGAGTAGAACGTGAGAATTTAGATCAAGTGAAATGAATGTATTTATAGCTACTATGCAATATGTAGTTTATGTTTGTATTAAGATACGGCTACCACCACAATATTAATGTCTACGTGCCTTCTATTCATAATAGAGAAGTTTAATTGAAAATTCTTGATCTATGTTATCTTATATATTAACAACAATGTATGTATATAGATATATATATTTGACATTTCAGAGAAATACCATAAGCGATAATGTGACGCTTCCATAGCCAATTATCTACATAATATAAGGTAGTAAAGATAGAAAATATGGTAAAAGATAATTGAAATCTCTACATACACAATCAATATACGCAAGCAAATGTAGAAAGATATGATATATGTATAAGGGATAATAAAATCTTTGAATATGTTCAATAAATTTTTTAATAAAAAAAATTTTAATTATTAATTTATTAAAAAATTGAAAATTAAATGAAGATCATGATTGATTTTTTATAATTTCCGTTTTAACAAGTTTTCTATAGCAAAGATTTTGAAAAGATGTTGGTACCAAGTCAACTTAATCAGTATGTTGGACGGTTATTTTTACTAGTTTTCTAAATGTTTTGATAAAACGAAAGTCAAATTTTAATTTATTATTTTTTAAAATTGAGAATTAATTATGCTTCAGAACAGTTTCTTAAGATGAGGAAGTTTCACTAATTATAACACTTTCAGAGTACTCAAGATTGAGTTCTTTGATAACAATAGGGTGCCCAATTAACAAACAATAGTTTCATAAGAAAGATGATGAATTTCTGTTCCTATTATTTATGGGCAAATGTTAATACGTCCAACTGGCTCCGCTAAGTAAACCAACCGTTAAGTAGCAACTTGAACTAATTTTTTATATCAATTTTCGTATCTCACTTAATTTGTATAAAGCATTTTTTTAACATGCCTCCTTATATTTACTTAAGTTATAATCACTTGTTCGTGTAAGCAATTTTTAGTCTTCATCCAAAATCTAACAATTCAAACATTTTTGCAGAAAATGTGCTTCTTTACAGACCTATTGAACTCATATCAGTCTATTATTATCTATTTGTAGAGAAAG